TTGGCCAGTGTTTCCAGACATAATCACAGACTACGAGCTCAGAAAATGGCAAAAGCTCTGACCCCCAAGACACACAATCAGCTGCAACCCACAGAGTCCATGCAGGTCATGTTGAACAGAGAAGACTTGGGATGTTTTCTCACTTTTCCCCCCACAATTCATCATCTTTTAAATCCACTGAAGAACAGCAGAGTCTGCAGTCCTGTGCAATCAGTTCTCTGAGGTTTTCTAATCTGATAACAGATACCATCTGGTGTTGGATAGTACACTCTGATTCCACTACCGAGGCTAATCGCTGTGTCTCTGCTTAGTACACATTTCCTTGCAGAGTCATGCCTTCTCCCTGCAATGATCACCAGAATGAAACCTTCCACATGCTCCTTGGAATCTGCTCTCACTGCTCTGCAGTTCTCACACATTATCCATTAATCATTGAGGTCTGCTTGTGTTCACTCAGCCCTTACACTAGCACTTATTATCCTTCAGCTGAAAAAGCAGAATTAGGACTCCAGCCTGCTTAGTAATTAATGACCAATATCAAACGTACTATTTTTGCCAGAGGTTACAATCTTCCTTAATCTGCAATTAAGCTGTATGAGGCTTTTCCATCTGGATTCAGATCACTGCCTAGTACAGGAACGGCTCTTGTTGGGTTACTAATGATCTGCTACTGGGTGTTTGCTCTGGGTTTTTATACCCTTCTTGTCCTGCTGGTCCTCAGTGCTGCCCTTGGCACTGTTGATCAGACCATGAGAACAGTTACAAAGGAGAGGAGGTCTTTACATCTTTAAGTAAGCCACTGCTTAACCAAAAATACCTCCCTTACCCTCCCAGAAATGATGTAAAACGTCAGGTCAAGATGAGTATGGATTAGAGATACATGTGTTTCCCAGGGAGAGAGGTGGAGGAGATGAGAGAGCGAAGGGAGAGAGGAGAGAGAGTCCCAAAGGCAGGGAGGCAGGATTAAAAGACGAGACACTTACTCTGCGTTTTGTTGTCTGTTGGTCCGGGACAGCAGCAGGGACAGAGGAAGACGCTGGTGTTAGTGGTGCACATTCACAGACAGGCAAGTACAAGACACTTATTAACATCGTTATCACTCTGTACTGACGCATGAGCTGTAAGCGCTGGCTTGGCTGCACAGACACGGGGTTACCAGAGTGGTGTGTGGCTGAGGGGATGCAGACCTGCACCTGCAGCACTGATCCCGAGTCGGTCTGGCGCCTGTTTGGGCACCAGCAGCCCATCCATGAACGTGAGCAGTCTGAAGTCTGAGGCTGCACCACAGGGCTCAGTGCAGGGACCTTTTCTACTATTCATATGTTGCTGCATGGTCACATTATTCACAGCCAGGGACCCAGAGTTTACCGCCATTCTGACGACACCCACAGCGATCTGCAGCCCAAACCAGACACTACTGCTGCAGCATCAGTGCTTTAAAGGTGCAGACCTGATGTTATGATATAAATGCAAAAAGTTAGACTGTGACAAGACTGGGATTATACTCCCAACGGCAGTTAAACAATGTTGGTGACTTCAGTGTTCTTAGTGATGGTGCCGAAATGAAGCCCTTAATGGGCATTCAGCATAACACTGCTCCGTGAACACCCTCATTCTACATATCTGATGCTGAAATACAGATACACACATTTATTTATTCAAGTAATGCCTTATTCACTGGGGCATCTTCTGAGGTCCTAAATAGACTTCAGTGTATCCAGAAGTCTGTCACTCCTGTTTTAGTTAAGAGCTCTCTGCCTCAGCACTTAACTCCCGTACTATGGTAAATTGCACTCATTCTGTTGATTCTGGCCTTCTCACTCTGCTGAAGACCAGACTCCACACAGTGTAACAGAGCCTTCTCACTCTGCTGAAGACCAGACTCCACACAGTGTGACAGAGTCTTCTCACTCTGCTGAAGACCAGACTCCACACAGTGTGACAGAGTCTTCTTACTCTGCTGAAGACCAGACTCCACACAGTGTGACAGAGTCTTCTCACTCTGCTGAAGACCAGACTCCACACAGTGTGACAGAGTCTTCTCACTGTGCTGAAGACCAGACTCCACACAGTGTAACAGAGCCTTCTCACTCTGCTGAAGACCAGACTCCACACAGGCTGTTCTCTTATATAGATCCTGGAGTGTTTTTAAAAGGGCTCGTAAGTAAAATTGTTAATATTTCCAGTAATCCTGTGAGCTGTATGCGCTGGTAGATTGTGTTAGCAAAGCAGACAAGCAGATTGGAGATGATGATTTACATTTTGCTGCTTTGTGACTCCTCCTGCTCGCCTTTGCAATGTCACTGAAACACAGCTGCCCACAGGGTGTGTGTAAGCTGTGTGACTGCGTTGTGAATCCCTGCTGCTTGTGATGACACGGCGTGCGAGCTGTGTGCCAGTGCATGCTGTAAACACTGAAACACACAATTACTGATCAATTAAGCACAACAAACCACAGGCTCTCCTCCTCTCTCCTCTCTTTGTCTCGGGGCTCTGAGACACTCCGAGAACTTCTTACTTGCCTCTTTTTATGAATGGATGGGTCTTTCAGAGTTAAGTCCGCGGTTATATATTTTTGAAAATTTGATTGATGTCTTTATCGAGTGGGATTCGTGACGGCTGCTCATGCTTGCAAGTGTGATTTAAAAAATATAGACTGTGAAATTGAATGGATTCTATATTTTTTTTGACACAATTGAGTAATCTGGGTTATTATGAAGCCTCTATCCTTTACTCTGTTGCTTTCCCTGCCTCTCTCTCTCTCAGTCTCCTTCCAACCCCACCCCACCCTAAGAGTCAGTATGACACAGAGCATCACCCAGCTGCCATGGCAACCGCTTCAGCACCGCACTGACTGTTTGAGTGACACACGCGCCCTGTGTGTCACAGACTGTGTAGCACTGCGTTTCAGACTTGCACAACTGTCACCAGGAGAGTAATAATTCCCACGACCAGAGGCAGGGCCGATGTGTGGAGAGGGGAGGTGAGAAGAGGGCGAGGGAGAAACTGGAGGAGCTAAGGACAGAGGAAGGCAAGCGAGGGTGGGAGGAGCCAGAGGCGGGAAGGAAAGGTGCACAGGAGCAGTGGGAGAGCAGGAAGGAGATTGGAGGAAGAGGCTGGTGCACTCTCGGGAGGACAGAGGGACAGATGATGTGGAGAGGAGAGTGGAGCAGTGAGGAGGGGTGTGTATGTAGGGGGGGCCGGAGGGGATTTGACAAGTGGCAGTCTGGTCCGTCGCTCCCCTCCCCCTCCTGGAGGAACAGATGCTGTAACAGAGGAAAGGAATGGAAGGAAGGAGGAGGGGGCGGGGGGGGGAGTCCCAGCGGGATTTAAAACAAGCTCAGTGCAACCTGTTTCTGTGGAAATAAACTGCGCCCTCCACCTCTCCCTCCCTCCCACTGCCTCCTGGCCTGTTCTCTCTTCCCTGAACCCCCTTCCCTGCCTACAGCCCTCTCCCCAGTCTCTCTCTCCCCCACGATCCACCTTTCTTCCACACTCCCTCTCTCTCTCGTTCTCTGCACCTCTCTGCCCATCTTCTTTCTCCGCAGTTCTGTTTTTACTTTCTCTCCATTTTGCTCTCTCTGTTCCTGACACATGGAAAAGGTCAAAGTCAGGGGCTGAAGTGACAGTCAGATGGATAGATTAACCTCCAACCTCCCGTCATCTTCAGCATCCTGAGATGTTGCATCCTTGCTGCCCTGATCTATGAACTGTGAACTTTACCCTTTTGGGCATGACTTCAAAACCCTCACCTTGGTGACCCCAGTGGTTGCTGGTTTTCCATCAAGCTGGACTATCAATTACTTAAATGATGTAACATTGATTTTTTAATTGCATTCTGCGCCTGCAAGTTTTTAAGTTACTCATCAATCCGTGCTTTATCAGGGAGCTGTTTATTCTGGGCAGGGAGCATGGCACCCTGAGCCTAGCCTGGAAGTACGGGGTGCCAGGCAGGATTGACCCTGGATGCACAAATAGCCCATCCCAGGGCCCACACACACACGCACAGGGAGAAAAACAACTGGGAAGCACAAATGAACCCAGCCAGCAATGTTTTGAAAGCTGGGAGGAGAGCACAGCTCCCAACGAAAACCTACGTGAACATGGTGTTGGGAGAACATGCAAACTCCAGACAGAAGGAGTCTGTTTGGAATTCAACCCAGAACACAGGAGCTGTGAGACACCAGCGCTAAGCACCCTGTGTTTACATGCCACCCCTTAAAGGTTCTAATAATTTTTGACTAAGATAAAATCTGACATTTCAAAAGAGCAGTCAAAAGAAAGAGCAGTGGATACTGGTTCTCAGCAGGCCCTGGACTGAGAAGCCATGCTCTGTCTGTACAAGAGTCAGACAGTCAGGGAGGGGGACACTCTGTGTCTGCTCTTGTGCGAGTCTGTAATGCTGTGTGTGATGGGAGCCAAATAGATCTCTTCCGTAAATGAAAACTCCCATCATCAGATTGGTACAGTGAGACCAGGACAATCAGAGTAGCTCATCCATGACCAGTTTTTTTATCATGGAGGGCAGTGCAGTGCTGTACAGTCCAGCCCTCTCCTGTACAGTACATACAGTAGGTGACCACACCACCTTGAAATGTAAGGAAAGAAGACTGCTGTAAAGTACACTTTAGATGTATAGTCCAGACCAGTGCTGTAGAGTACAATCAAATACTTCTGAGTACAGTCCAGGCCAGTCCAGTCCTGTAGGATACAGTCCAGGCACACCCAGTGCTGTAGAGCACAGCCCAGGCCTATAAAATGCAGTCCAGGTCAAGCTAGTGCTATATAGTACAGTCTGGTGCTTTAGAGAACAATCTAGTCCAGTGTTATAATAGCACTGGATTGTGCTCCGAGTCCAGTCTAGTGCTGTACAGTCCAGGCCAGTTCAGTGTTGTAGAGTATAATATTCCAGTGTTGTTGAATACAGTTCCAGGCCAGTTCAGTGTTGTAGAGTATAATATTCCAGTGTTGTTGAATACAGTTCCAGGCCAGTTCAGTGTTGTAGAGTATAGTAGTCCAGTGTTGTAGAGTACAGTCCAGTGTTGTTGAATGCAGTTCCAGGCCAGTCCAGTGCTGTAGAGTACAGTCAAACTTAGTCCAGTGCTGTAGATCACAGTCCAGTGATGTAGACCATAGTTGTTTAGTCCAGTCCCATTTAGTGTAGTAGAGTCCAGTGCTGTAGAATACAGTTCCAGGCCAGTCCAGTACTGTAGACTACAGTATAGTGCAGACCCATGCTGTATAGTCCAGTCCAGTTTAGTGTAGTACAGTCCAGTGCTGTAGATCACAGGCCAGGGATGTAGACTATAGTGCAGACGCATGCTGTATAGTCCAGTCCAGTGCTGTAGCATACAGTACCAACCAGAGTCCAGCCCACTGCTGTAGGGCATAATGCCAGTCCAGTATCATGTAAGACACAAGAATTAGTAACTTAGAGCACACAGTGAACTTCAGCACAGTAAGGAACATCAGATTTGAGCACAGTAGCTCACAGACAGCAGTAGGGGGAACATTGGCAGTGGAAATAATATTTAAATAATAGAAATGGGTACTCACAGCCTTTGGGAATGTGGATAACAGCTCTGGATGGCACTGGAGCATGAGAGAGGAGGAAGAGTGCGAGGAAGAGGAAAAGTGGGGAGAGACAGCACTCCCCACTGGAGGCACGCTGACACTGCAACTTCATCGTCTTGTCAGCTTACACTCCCATGAACACTCTCTTTTCTCGCACACACACACACACACACCACTGTCTCCCGACGCAGGGAGAACACCCTCGCTGTCCGTCCCCTCTTCTCTCCTCTTCCTCCCTCCTGGGTCTGCTTCTTCCTGGTGTACAGCCCGGCAAAACCGGAGTGCGTGAGTGCGCTCGGAGAGCCTCTCTCTTTCCCTCACTCACTTCCTCCTGCCGTCTTCTGGAAAAGAGAGGGAGCAGGTGAGTCCAGAGAGAGAGGGAGACAGGTGAGAGGGCAGAGAGCAACTCAGGTCTTTGTCAGACCGCAGTGCTTAACGGCAGGGACAGTATGGCCTCCCTGAGGTTCCCTGTTGGTGCAGAATGGCTGCACTGCGTCACCCAGGTGAGGCTGCTGGGGCAGAATGAACACTGTGCGTCTCCCAGGTGGGGCTGCTGGTGCAGAATGACCACTGTGTGTCTCCCAGGTGGGGCTGCTGGTGCAGAATGACCACTGTGTGTCTCCCAGGTGGGGCTGCTGGTGCAGAATGGTCACTTGTGTGTCTCCCAGGTGGGGCTGCTGGGGCAGAATGAACACTGTGCGTCTCCCAGGTGGGGCTGCTGGTGCAGAATGGCTGCTGTGTGTTTCCCAGGTGGGGCTGCTGGTGCAGAATGGCCGCTGTGTGTTTCCCAGGTGGATTGCACACTGTGGTGGTGGGGTTTGTTTCCAGTACTGGCTATGGCACTACAAAGGAAGAGCTGCACCAGTGTCTGCAAGCCTGCGGCACCGTGTGCGAGCAATTAGAGGGAAACAGGAAAACAGCCCGGACAAGCGCAGGAATACACTGGCACACAGGATAAAGAGGGAGAGAGAGACCGAGTACGCAGGAACAGACATACAGACAGACAGGCTACAGAGGGAGAGAGACAGACAGACTAAGGCACAGAGAGTGAGACAGATACAGGGATAGAAAGTGAAGCACACAGACACAGTGAGACAGGCTGTGACTGTCAGTGTTCAGTAACAGAACTGTAAGTATGGGACAGGTTGGGGTGGTGAATAATTAACACAGAGGGGAGTGTGTAGTAATGAACCCCCCCACCAGACAGACTAACCCTGAGGGATGGAGCTGGGGGGGGGGCTTGTACATGTTATTTCATTTTCTCTTTACCCCTCCCCCTCTCTTTACAAATCCCTCCATCTCCCCAGCTGGAGATGTTAAATATTTAAACAGCCCATGGTACAGTCACGCAACATTGCACACCAAGCACAGAACCACTCCATCATCAGCAAATCTGCACAGAACTGTAAACACACCCGGTCCAGCTCATCGTCACCGGTCCGTACAGAACTGTAAACACACCCGGTCCAGCTCATCGTCACCGGTCCGTACAGAACTGTAAACACACCCGGTCCAGCTCATCATCACCAAATCTGCACAGAACTGTAAACACACCC